GGCGGCGGCGGCCGGACCGCGCGGCCCCAGCCCGCGGCCGCTACTCGCTCTCGTCTTTGTCCTGGACGGTGGTGGTAGAGTGGTTGTACAGTCCCTGTGCCATGAGGTGCAGCGCCAGGCCATTCTTGATGCCCGTGGCTTTCTTGATCTTGGCGCGCTTGTTCTGGAACCAGATCTTGATCTGCGACTCGTTGAGGCCGAGGTCCTGGGCCAGGCTCTGGCGCCGCTGCTCCGTCAGGTAGCGGTTGGTCTGGAACTCGGCCTTGAGTCTCTGCAGCTGCTCGGCCGTGAACGCCGTCCGCGGCCGCTTGTCCTCCTTCTCGTTCTTCTTCTTCTTCAGTTTCCTGGTGCGCGGACCTGCAGCGGCGGAGAGGGCCGGGTGGGGGTGGGGACAGAGGGCAGAGGGGAGGGGGGAGAGGGCAGAGGAAGCCGTGAGAATTGCAGAGCCTGGCGGAGATCGTGCCCAGTGCTCTACCCGCGAGAGCAGAGGCCCTGCTGCGCCCGGGTTCCCTCCAGCCCTCTTGCCCCTAGATCAATTCCCTGGCTGCTGGGGTGGCAGGGTTTCCTTCTGGGGTGCCAGAAGAACCACTGAGGAAAACTGACGGAGGTTCTTTGTGCACCTCACACCCCGATTCTGAAAAGGAGACTCATTTGACAGGCTCAAATCGCAGAGAGCAAGATGGGAACGATTGGAAGCCTGGCTGGCCCAGTCCAAACTTGGAAGTCAGAAGCCTGCTGTCTGCAAAACCTTAGATCAAAAAGGGGCTTAAGAGTGGAGCAGTGAAGACACTGGGGCAGGATTGCCCTGGGGGAAATTCCCAGCCTGCAAAAGAATCCTCCCTTCCAGAATTCAAGTGCACCCAGATACCTACAGTAAGACCCCCTCCGCTTCTAGCTAGTGACCCCAGAAAGCAAGAGGACAGGGACAGAACTGAGAGGGTTGCCTGGTTCCAAAGTATCCAGCTTCTGCTGTACCTTTCCCTCTTTTCTCTCTGACCCTTTCTAGGGTTCCAGGGAAACCACCTCTTCTCTGAAGGGGAGAAAGGGCCTTTACCCAATTGCACACCTTACCCACATCACCCTGGCTCCTGGGTTTTCTGCTTTGCCCCTTGGATGGTACCAGCAAGAAAGAGGGGGCTCTCCCCGTTCCTGTTCCTCCACCCAGCTGCACAGGCAGGGGTTCCTGTATCTCTCTTTTGAACATTTCAGCAGCAATTTCAGGATTGAAAACTCCTGCATAACAAAACCAAGCCAAATCTGCTTTCCCTGCCCACCTATGGAATTTGCAAGGGGACCGCATCCCACCTCCCCCATCCATGAACAAAAGGGGAGCAGAAATAGAGGACTGGTCTCCACAAAAATCTCAGCTTGGTTTTTAAGATAGGCATGGGAAGAGGCCACAGGAAACCTTCCCAGAATGGTGAAGTCTCCCTCAGGAGCTAACCTGGGAAAAAGGCTGCTTTGGAGCCCAGTTCTGGAGAGAGGAGGGAGACAGAGAGTGGGGGTCAGTAAAGCCTGCTCCTCTATCAGCCTCCACTCGCAAGTCTTCTGGCATTTACTGACCAGGCTCTCTCCCCGGAGTCAAGTTAAGTCTCTGTCAGGCCTGTTAATCTCTAACACAGTCTGGAAAGAAGTGTGTTCACCAGTATCTACAAACCTAGCAACAGAGGGGCAAGCTGGGCAACTGGCTTGCCTGGGGTCACCATCTGTCCTGTGACAAAAGAGTCCAGTCCTGGCCAACTGCAATGAGTTAGGGCTGGTGTGAGCTTCATCTCCCTGAACTACCCAAGTAGGAGAGTGACCAGCACCCTGCTTCTCCAAGCCCAGACAGAAAAGCTGCCAGAACAAAGCCAAGGCCCACTCCTGAGCAGGGTGCAGAGAGGACTGAGAGGCTTGATGGGGCGCCAGGAAGACCTCAGCTTAGATTAGTAACTAGCTGAGAGGGCAGAGAAAGTCAAGGTAAATGTGCATATCCCCCCAGAAAGGCCCGGTGGTGAGTCCAGGAGGTTGTTGGAGTGCTGTGAGTGTGCGGAGGTTCGGACACTTTGTAATAAAATCGTAGCCTCCCGGCCAGCCAGAGCAGCAAAGCCTGACAGCTCAATCACTCTATCCATCAGGCGAGTCAATCAAAGCAGCTTTTCGGAGGTTCAGGGAGCCCGACGTGTCAATAACGGGGCTCGAGATGGTGGGGGCTGATAGCACGCATCGATCCACACCCGGCTGGCAGCGGCAGGGAGGCAAGAGACCAGCGGAGGAAGAGCGGTCCACCGCCAGGCTGTTCCCGGCCTCCTGCGGGGGGTGCCCGGAAACCCAATTGTCGGTTAGAGCCCCTGTCGCTCTCCTGGGGCCACCAAGATCCTCCTGGGTGCTGCCATCTGGAGTGGTGCGCAGGCCTCAGCCTCCTCTCCTGTGGCCTAGGTTCTAAGTGGGGACAGGTCCCAGCCTCCCGGTCTCCAAGAGAGCGAGCGAGGGACACGCAGGACAAGGGCGAAAGGAAAGTAAAAAATTTGCCTGTGGCAAGTGGAAATTTGCTAAATGGCTGATGTGCCACTGGAGTAAGTGCAGGAAGGAAAGGGGAGGATATGGGAACCTCAGCAGAGAAGCTGCAGCGCAGACTAACTCCCAAGTGCTGAGCGGGTTTCCTGGCCTGCTCCGGGCCTGTCTTCCCTGCTCTCTAGCGCCTGTCTGTCAGCTACAGAGAACAGGGGTCATTCTCTCAACACCCTCTCCTCTAGCAAACGCCTTTTCCTGAATTCTACAGACCCAAGTCACACTTTGTTTCCTCCCCAGCATGGGAGAGAGGGGCAGGAATCAGATACCTTACTCTCTCTGGTGGGTCCTCAAACCTATCTCCATGTAAATGAACTCTGCAGAAAATGCGAGATGGAGTTTGTGACTGTGAAAACACCAGGTGATGATTATTTCTCTGATCAAAGTCTTGTTCGATTTCGGCCTTGGCAGGGCCAGGCTGGTGGCTGTCAGAGTCTGATAACTAGGCCCACCTCCCGCCAGCTCTAACACCCCTTTCGCTGGAAGAACGATCAATGACTGACTGTGTCTTTCCTAAGAATAATAAAGGTAAAACACAAAGAAGATCCCAGGGGCCCGAAAGTTCAAAACCGCTGGATCGAGACTCCAGCTTTCCGTGCTGCGGTGAACTGCAGCCTTCCCACTCGCCCAGGTCGAGAACTCAGAACTGGGCGCACATTCGGTTGCAACTGGGACCAAGAGTGAGCAGGCAGAAGCAGGCAAGAGAGAGGGGCCAAGGCTAGGTTTGCTCTCCCCGACACCGCGACTGAGAATCTCGGCAGGGGTCGGGGAGTGGCTGGGCCGCGGGGATACGTCTGCTGGGCCAGAGGTGCGGTACGGTCTAGGGCTGGGTACTCACCGGAGGACGGACGATCCGAGTAGCGCGTGCAGTAGACCCAGGCGGGCCAGACCAGGGGCTGCTGCGAGTCAGTTTTGACCACGGGCCCACCGTTGGCAGAACCCATAAGCAGGATGGCCGGGTTGCTGTGCTCCGGGTACTTGGCACCCTGTGCGCCTGGGCTCCCCACGCCGCCTC